TGACCTGCTGCAAATGCGATGAAATGTGAGATAAATTAAAATGAGTAAGGAAGGGTAGCAAAAGCTTGCCTGAATGGCTAGAGGGCAGTGGTAGCAAGGAGGTAGAGAGCACCTTTGCCCTTCCTAAGTCCTTTCTTCCATGTGGATTCATCCCTGGTACCAATCTGGCCTTATATCAGCTTTTAGTATAGTACCAGTTCCTACCTATCCCCAAAATCTGAATGTAAGTTGCCATAGAACACTGTGAATTTGGGTTGTGAAATTACAAAGAATTACTTAATCAGTTGCTTCAAGTTGTGCAGCAAAACTAGCAATTTTATTTGACATACACAAAACTTCATTTCCTCTAAGAAGAAGAATATGGAACAAAGCTTTTTGTCATTAAGAATCACAGCGTGATCAAAATTTTCAGGTTAAATGGTCATGTTGCAGTAGACTCGAAACTAACACCTCTGAGAAGTGTGAAAACCACTTCCGCTAAGTATGGAGTGTTCTGTCCCGAAAACCTCAGCATACTGATTCCTGAATGTTCAGGAACCGTATCTATACAAGATCTGAAACAGTGTACATATTAAAAAAGGCAGGCTTGTAAAACTACGGTGTTTATACAAATTCAGTAGTCATTTGGAGATAGTGGTGGTAAAGACTTGTTAAAATAGACTTCTGGTCTAGAGTTAGTGCTCCTTGGATGATAGAGAAATGGTACTGAGAATTCAAAAGACAACCACAGAACTGAGCCACAGGGTAGAACGTGTGATGCTTAAAAACTTTTACCTCCAGAAGAGATGAGTGAAAGGCAGGGGGTTTTTTATTTCTGGGTTTTTTTTTCCCTTGGTCAGGGAAACCCTTGGAGCTTGGATCTTTCTGGGATTCATTGCCCAAAGTAGCTACCAGAAATTTTGATTACAGATGTGGAGAGAGCCATTCCAGTTCTTCCCATCTTTTTCTCTGAGTGCATACCTTCCGGCCTCTTGGCCTTCCTGTGCTGTGTGGTGAGCCAGCCTGGTGTAGTCTGTGAACTAGACAGGACTTCGGTGGTCAGGTACAGAGATTTCCTGTAGCCACTGCCCACAAAAAAATGAATGTGTGAGTCATAATCCTGTCCACCCTACTAATGTATCAGGAGTTGCCTCAGCTGCCTCGGGTGGCAGTGTGTCAGAGAGAGCAAGAATTTGCACTGCCAGGCTTTGAGCCTCCCTTTCTTTACTTTGGTAGGTGGACCAAGAAGGCATTATCAATGTTTGTGTTGTACCTCTGCAGACTTATCTGGGGTTTTCGCTGGCTGAGTGAGCATCTGGCACCTTTCCTATACTATTAAGATTACTTAAGCAAACCAGACAAATTGTGGAATATTAATTCCGCTTGTCTCCAAGTTGGTAGTCTTTTTGTCTGCACATAATTTGTGGAGGGATCCACAATGTAAAGAAAAGTGGATCTTTTCTCAATGGGCTCAAACAAACTACAGCACTCCTTAGAGGTAGAAAAAATACAATCATATGGCTTTGCAAATGAGAAAAACTGACAATTTTTTAAGGGAACCTGTCATTTAAATAAAATGTTTTGAGCTATTGTGGGGTTTGCTGTTAATTTCAGTTCCTAATAAATGTTAAAATTGGTTACTAACTTCCTGGTGCAATTCAGTGTCTTGCACATTCTTAAATAAATAGTGCATGTGCAAATAATGACTTGCTATTTGCAAGCCTTCAACAGATCTTCATCTTTAATACGTTCAGATGTCCTGTTATCTAGATGCAACTACAGCATTGGGAATTTCTAACTGTAGTCTTTAAGATGTTGACTCAAGCCATTTAACAGTGAGAGCTGAACGGTTTGTACCTGTGGGCAGGAAGCAGGGAAAGCACGCACTGTGCAGTGAAAGTCTACCTCGCTTCCTCAGAAACTTCTCTGTGAGAACTCATGTGATGCAATCCCTCTTCCCTAAAGAGGAGGGAAAAAAAATCTGAAAAGTCCCTGCTGGCTGACTGTGGCTGTTTGCTTTCTTTTTTTTTTATCTTGTGTGTAGTGTAGAGATTCATTTTCCCTGTCCCCACTGAGCTGGTGAAGCCCTGCTGCACCTGACACACCAGAAGAGGCTGAGGGAGCTGGATCCCTTCAGCCAGGAGAGGTGGCACTCAGGAGAGATCCAACTGCAGTAGCCAACTATAACAAACGTTTGCAGAAATGACGGATTTTTCTCCCAAGGCCCCCAGTAAAAACATATAAACCAGCTGTCATAAACTGCAGCAGGGGAATGCCACTAGGATATGCAGGAGGAAACTCACACTGAAAGTGATTAAGTGTAGGATAAAATTGCTATTAGCCCTGTGCTGAGCATTAGGCTGGACTGGAAGACTTCCAGAATCCCCTCCTAAGACAGGTTTTCCTGTGAGTCCCCACTGGCTGTTTAGAAAAGATTGAAAGCTCTAGCTCCAGTTGTGAATAGTATTTAGGTCCAGAGTAATGTGAACTACTCATTTTTTTTTATTTTTGTGTGAAATGCCACACCAGAGACTTGCCTGGCCTCTGACAATTACTACAATGTTTTGGGAATTTCTCCCCTTTTTTCATCCTCCTGCACCCTCGTTCAGCAAAACCCACCGTCATATCCACTGCAAGTATCAGAGACTCACAGCCAAAGGTGATGCTACAGTAGCAGTTTCAGGGTTAAATTATCTCCTCTCACGTATGGACAATAACTCATTTAAGGGAAAAAGAAAGAAAAGGAATAACCAAGGAGATGGTGCCATCAAGTGAGATGAATCAGGCAGCTTTTCATCAAGAATGTACTTAACTTTTACCTCTGTATAGCAATAGTTTGTCTTCAAGAGAAAAAAAGCTGTTTTCACGGCATTCTGGTAGGTTTCTGTTCGAGGAATGGAAAAGATTCTCATGCCCAGAGTTCTATAGTGGTTCACAAAAACATCGGTTCTGCTGTTTCACAGCAGTTTGTATCAAAAAGATGCTTCATTGTAAGTGAGGATGAGGTAGTAGCATAACTACTTATGTGAATTCTGCTGGAGAAAGTAATATATTTTTATTTTCGATTTCTTCATAAAGTTCAGAGCACTCTTAATACTGTTTTTAAAAATTCTTTTATTTTAAATAGCATTGCAGTGCACTTCATTCTGTAGTGTCCCTCAATCCTTTTTAAAATGTACTCTATACGTATTCTATGAGACGTCGGTGTATCTACATATCTATATGTGTGTGGGTGTGTGTGTAGCTGGTCCTTGTTTGACTGCAGTAATTTTTATCACAGAAAGCCCTGAAGCAGCATGATTGAAGCTGGTGAATAGCACAACATTACAGGTGCCGATAACCTGCTATTGAAACAGTGTCTGTTTAAATAACAACCAAATTTATGTGAAGAGTTACCAATTAATGCAGAAAGCTGAGCTCAATTGCAGATAAAGCGCTATCAGTGTGCAATACACAGGAGACCATGAGTTTTTCCACGTGACAGAGCAGTTTCACCACGTGGCAGAGCAGTCTTTTCTCAGCAAAACCGACTGGTGCCAGGCAGGCTGGCCCTCAGTTCTGCATTTGTAGGAGGAGCCACCATCAAATGCAATTTTGGCAAAGGTCCACGCTTCAGCTCCTGGCAATGGGCTGTTAACGTGATGTATGGGAAGGTGTGTTGTTACTATTTGAGCAAACAAATACATGACCTGTGACTAAACTTTGATGACTTTTAAGTCTAGTGATTGGTTTGTAAAAGTTCCCTATTCCCGCACTTGAGCTCATGCAACATGATGAAATACGAATTGCATTTGATGTGGGGAACTACTTAAAGGTCACTGAATTTTGAAAATGTGTTTGGGAAATGGACAGATAAAAAATTTACAGCCAGGGTAGACTTTCTGCCTTCTGCCTTCATTTTGGTAGGTATTTTTTTTACTTCATTTCTTCTCAATTCTTTAATTCCCTTAATTGTTTTCACTAATTAGTTATTCAAAGCTACACAGTTATCCTTTTAGTGTATCTGTTGCAGATTTGGTGCTTGTATAATGAGGTATAGGTGATCAGCTGAACTGAGAGCCTGTGCCCATCTGTCTGACCAAGGTCAGCTTCTTGATTAGATGTTGTCCAGTTTGCTGGATGAATATAACTGAATATAAATGGTTGCTTTTAAATAAAAGAATATCTTAATTTTAACCAGAACTTAACACTGTTTCAATCTTACAAGTGTTTTGCCTCCACCTTTTCCCAAAGCAAAAGTGATTCTCTGATAATTTTTTTTTGTGTGCAGACAAGTGGTCTTCACATCCATTACTCCTTTGGTGGGGGTTGTTACACAGTGCAGCGTTAAGTCATACAAAATTTGCATTTTTCTCCTCTTGCTTGTCATCATGAGTTTGCAGAAAGATAATGAATCCTGGTTTTTGCCTAGTTGCACGAGTGCATGAGCAGTGAAGCACCGGTGGGTGTCAGCACCGGGGAGCTTTCAGAGAGGGAGGCGTGAGGGGCAAGGCCAGGCAGCAGGGCCAGCGAGCTCCCAACTGCCCCAGTAGCACCACGTTCACCACCAGCAACTGACTTGGCTGAGTTTTCCATACGCCCCAGGAGCACAAAACTCCCACCAGGGAGGAGTGCATGTGGCATTAAACATTAGTAAGCACAAAGTGAGATTTTTTTTTTTTTTTTTTTTTTTTGCCTGGGAGCCCTGGCATCTCCAGCCCTGGGGTTAAGCTTGTAGGGGGATGTACATATTGGGAAGACAGGATTCAGAGTACAGCATCAACAAATGCCAATATTTGTGCAGGCAGTGTTGCAGCACAGCTGCACCAGTTGTGGCATATTAACTGGCAGTCTGAAAGTCCAGCCCAGAGAGGCACTTTGGCCCAGTGGGCTGGGCTTACCTTCTCATTCCCTGTTAGGAGGTTGGTAGTCTTGCAGCCTCCTGTCATCTCTCCAGCAGCCCGTGTGGTGTGAATGTGCTGCCCAACAGCCAGCAGCGATTTTGCAGACCCTCATTCTTCCAGTGATACACTCCTAGATGGTGTCCTGCTGTGAACACACCTGCAAACTCCGTCTCATATTTGATCCAGAGACAGTCTGTCAAACCAGAGGACAACCCCCGGGTAGGTCTTTTATACATTTGAAGCAAAATTTCTTGTGTTCTTCAGCTCTGAGCAACTAGTGAGCTGAAATATAAATAAATAAATAAATAAATAGATGAATTATTTAATAGATAAAAAGGATGGCAAGCAAGCTTCTGTAATAAATTTATAGGATAAAGCAATACTGACAGATGTCATTTGGGAATTAGTCTCTTTAAAAACGGGCCTTATTTAAGAAGGTTTTCTTCATAATTAGTTCCAAACTTCAGCATGACTGGAGCTGCCAAGTTGGAACAATTGCTCATTTTTAATTTAGAGCAACTCATATGTTTTCCAGCTAAATTAAACCAAACCGGGGAATTTGGAAAACCACTGAGAATAAGGGGAAGTCTGGAGTGATTAACAATTACTTCCTCATAAGACATGCCCAAGAGGAAGAGAGGTGCTTTTCACTCATGGAGCTGCTCTCCTAAGGATGAGGAGCATCATGCTTTCCTTCCTCTGCTTACTGATGCACCTGCTTCAGGATGAGATAACTTGTAAGTCAGGGCTTTTTGTTCTTTTCCTATGTGGGAAGGGGGAGGGGGACAGGTCCTGTTTTTGAATCTCTGGATGAGTCAAGAAATCTCTAGAGCTTTTGCTGGGTTTCAAAAGTCCAGTCACTTTCAAATTAGTCTGTTATTTTATCTTTCAAGGTTCTGAAATGCAGATAAAACAAGCATGTTACCCATTAGATTTATTCATGGCTGTATTATCAGTTTCAGTTCAGCCCATTCAAGTCTTACTTGATTCTGCAAAACCCAGAAAAATACTAGGATTTGGATGTTTCAGAGAGGATTTTAACTGATTCTGTTATCAGTAATATTGCAGTTTGAAAACAGATAACCTTAAAAACTGTCAGACAGCTTTTCCAGTAGTGCAGACAGGAAAAGCAGTGAATCTCAGGTTATTGCTTATTAGGCAAGAGCTGATAAATGCAACTGTGGCAACAGTTAAAAGAGCTGTAATCTCTTCAGGTTAAAACTGAGATGCAGAGGAAAGAGCATTTGACTTTTAACTACTGATTGGGCTGCTTACTGCAGACTCTGTGGACAGATCCAAAGGATTTGTTTCCTGGGATGTGCATGAGGCATCTTACACAGCAGTTAACTTACTAAGGAAAAAAAAACCACAAAAATTAAAAAAAAAAAAAAAAAGAACAAACAAACAAACAAAAAAACCCACCAACAAAAAATCCCCACCCAGACAGTCCACATAAAAGTGTTCCTTTCATAATACTAAATATGTTTGTTCTGTAACTACTAAATCTCATGACTTGGAACATTTTGATCGTGAGATCCAGAAGATTTAATTTTCCCTCTGTGGTTTGCTAGTCATGAAACCAAATATAGGTCTATAGCAATACCCCCACGATTTCAATACAGAGGAGCGTGTCTGGGACAAACATGTTATGTTAGCATTCCTTATTTTATTTGCAGCACTTTCAGTTATGGAAAACCAAGACCTGCAAGACTCAATTAAGCCGCAGAAGGTAGAGTTTCGTTCGTTAAACTTCAACAGCACTTTGCATTGGCAGCCTGGGTGGGCCAGAGAGGCGAGAGACACACTCTACTTTGTGCAGTACAAAGTGTAAGTACCAGGGGAACTCCAGCGTCCCACTGTGCCAGGGCCTATCCCTGCTGGCCACATGAAAAGGAGTTCTCAGGTGACATGGGATATTCTCCTCATACCTGGGGAACAGCCACATCCCGCTTGGCTGCCAGCTCTCAGTTGTCACTGCACTTATCAATTAATATCCCATAAGGTGCAGCCAAGCAGCATGAGGCAGACAAGGAACAAGCACCTCCAACAACTGTACCCTCATTGCACCACAGAGTTGAAGGAAAATGTAGTTTGCAGGGGAACTGTGAAGGTCACTGGGTCCAACAGCCTGCCTGAAGCAGGTCTGGCTAGGTGAAGTTCTTCTGGAATAGGACATTTAAGGTATTTCAGTGGCCCACCTTGCCCATGACAGTGTCTCAGGGTGCCTTGGATGGCAAGCTTGAGGCAGCACTAGGGGCTGGTCCTCAGGGTCTGCTCCCATCCCTGTCACACTTGGTGAGTGCCTGAAATCATCATTGCCCTTGAGAAATTACCTGGTGAAATCTGGCATTCTGCTCCTTGTTGAACATGCTGGCTAAGCCAAAGCTTGCCTTCCTCTTCCACGGGACAAGAGGTGGCTTCCTACAGGGCTGGTGACCCATGTCTCTGCTTTAAGTTTCTTTCAGAAAAAACAGAAACCAGTGGCATCCAAATGCCCATGAAATCAACCATCCCAGTCACCAAACTGAAGGCAGTTAATTTTCACAGCAGAACACCTGTCAGTGACACCGAAGTAAAACAGAGGGCTAACAATCTGCATGGACCCAGTCGGTGACAGCTGAAGTTTACGTCCTTCCTTCTCTTTCTCCACAGTTATGGGCAGACCACGTGGCAAAACAAAGATGAGTGCTGGGGAATTCAAAGCCTTGTCTGTGACCTAACACATGAGACCTCTGACATCCGGGAGCCTTACTACGGAAGAGTGAAAGCCGCATTGGCTGGTGTCTATTCCAACTGGAGCCTCAGCTGCAGATTCACTCCCTGGCGAGAAAGTAAGTGCAAACATATGGGTCTCTCAGAAAGGAATTTGAGCTTACAAGGCATGGAATGCATAATTTCTGCCCACAATTTGCAAGCGTCGTTTTCTAGCTACAAGGCTATACTTAAAGAAGTTGTGATTCAATTGGCCCCAGGTGTTATACTGAAATAATTTTCCCCACACTTGAAAGACAACCAATTATGGCTAAATGGCCACTTACCAATGGCTAGGAGATCAAAAGTGCCCAGATCCCTTTAATTCAACTTCTTCCTCAGGGCGTGGAACTACACTAATTATTTTCAGCCAGTTTTCAAGCTGCTAGAAGGACAGGATGCAAGATGGAAAAAAAAAGAAACATTCCCTGCTTGGGTCAAAAAGAGAGCTGAGTGCTGTGTGGCCACCATTCTCTTCATATTTATGTGTTTTCCTCACTGCAGGAAAGGACATAGAACAGACATGTGCCAAGCTTTTAGTTAGTTCTGTCATTATAATGCCATAGGATGGTAGAAGTGGAGGACTGTCCAAACACTGAGCAGTGTCAGTCTACCTACCTGAAAGTTCCCCATGAATTAACCAATTTTCCCTCAAAGGTCAATGCGAAATTGAATTGTCAGTGTGGGTCACTTCACTGCTCAGAAGTGCAAACTACCTTGAGCCTCCTGCATAAATGCATCCTTGGCATAACTGAAATTATTCAAATGGATGTTTTATGCAGTCCAAGCACACAGACAAATATGAGGGAAAAAGAAAATCAGGGCAAAGGATCCAGAACATTTTGCTTGACGAGTCAGCACTCAGCAACATGCAGCTCTTAGAGATTTCAAAAAGACTGTTTCAAAGATAGCAATAACCAATTAATAACCACCAAGAAGTAAAAATTCATAAAGTGGCACTTTAAATACAGCATAACATATTGTTGGCAACATGAACATTTGTTGAACAGATTCAAACTGCATTCTATGAAATACTATTAATAAACTAGAATTGTGTTTATAGCTTTGGGTTTTCTCCTTAGCTATGATAGGACCTCCAATAGTAACTCTGGTTCATAGCAACAAATCCGTTATAGTAAAGCTCCAGGCTCCACGTTCTCCATTTAAAAGGAAGAAAGGCAGCAAGATACCAATGACAAATTATTATGATCTACTGTATCAAGTCTTCATAATTAACAACTTGCTAGATGAGGTAAGTGTATATTCAAATATGAACCCTTTACCATTGAAAAGCCAGGAAAGTATGGGCACACCCTTCTTGTTCTACAGCTGAAATAGTCTTCTGGGATTGTGAGAGCATTGATGACTGCATGGGCGTTTGTAAACAGAGTAGGCTTACTTTTCAGGAATCAAATTTGATTGAACTGAGTTGTAATTCCTCCCTGTATTATTTCTCATCAACGTAGTATTTCGTACTCTAAGATCTAGATTAAAAAATTGAGACAGGAGGGGAAATTGAGGGGAGGGGAAGAATTTTCTTTCAAAATCATAAATAATTATTAATGCCATGGACTTTGTGCTGTTCTGCACCCTCTGTTGTTATTAAACTTTACTCACAAACACATTTGCCAGGCAAATGTGTTTGACTGGCTCTTTTTTCTCCACTGTATCTGAAGCAACACAGAGTCCTGGTGTATGAAGGAAAAGAGAAGGTTATTAAATTAAAAGATTTGAGGCCTGGAGTCAGCTACTGCATCGTGGCTAAAACGTACGTGCCCATGCTGGACCGCAGCAGTGCCTACAGCAGCAGGCAATGCACCGTGCTGCAGTGACAGGGCTGGCACCTCTGTGACGGGTAAGTCAGTAGCTGAAACTGGAGATGACTCTGGAAGTCAGGATCTATCCCCTCACAAAGGCAGATGTTCTCCAAAATGAGAAAATAAAGTGTGGCATAGAAACTGCCATACCATGTGACAATATTAGCTAAAATTCTTACATAATCTCAGTTAGTTGCACACCAGGTAAGAATGATAAGGCTAAGGAGATTAGAAGAATGGGATAGAAAATTATTTGCATGCTGACACTGTCCTCAGAATTATCTCTGTCCCTTTCTTTAAACAGTTATAAATAGTATTTCTTTCATAATTTTTTTCTGTTAAGTAGGAATTAATCAGGAAAATGAGTTACCTGCAACTTTATTACCATGCAGTTCTCTTGCAAGCTCTGCAATCCTATTCTGTTCAGAAATTTATCTGATGGATTAATTAAAATGTGCCTGTCCCCTTTTCATAGCCACTCTTCAGTGTAATTTTTTTTTAAATAAATCAGTTATCAAATTTTGTGAGTTCCTATGGACCAAAATGCAAGAGGTAGCTCCATTAGCTGATCTGAAAATTTGTTTTTTTACTTCATCAGTAGACTATCTGCATGTATTGTATGCCCAGCAAAGAGATTTACTATCAATCCTGTCTTGCAGGTGCAAAGTCATGGAGTGTACAAAGACCTAGCCCACAGTTGACTTTATTGGAATTGGCCTTAGCAACCTCATATTTGGACCCTTTCTAGGGGGAAACTGGAAAAGCATCAGAGTTTGAACCTGGGCTTCTGTTCTACCCTAGTTGTAATACCCTAACTATAAAAGTTTTCCTTTCTTCTGCTTCATGATATGATGCATAACATTGGTTTCTCTTGAGTCTCGGTCAGTGGATTTAGGCTAAGGGGGGAGCCAGTTTCTAGGGGACTTTCCTGCAGTTTTGCTCACTTTGCCAGTACTGTAAAGAGCTGGAAGCTCAGATTAGAGCTGGACTTCTAAACAACCTGCAGAGGTGCAGGAGGGATGCACGAGAATGGCATGTGTTCAATGTCAATTCAGTTTAATAGCACCCAGCTTAAATGCACATTCCAGCAGCAATTATCTTTCTCTTCTCAATTACAGGGATAATGGCAGAAGATGCCTTCCATCACAGATCCAGTTGTAAATCAGCACCTGTTGTCTATGTCTGGAATACATACTTGGACACTTTTTAAACTAACCTTTGCTGCAATAAATTATTTGATTCATCACAATTGTTTTATGCTACATGAAGGTCAAGGATTGTTTTTATGTCCTATATTACAATTTATGATGGTATGTATTTGCATTTTCAAAGGAAAAAGCCTTGTAATATGAAGGAAAAACCATGCAAAAAGCATTTGTGGAAATATTCCTAAGATTCCTTCAAGGTTTTTTCTATTTTATGCCTTGGACTTAAAATACAATTTATAAAACAGAAATTTCGGATATTTTATGTCTTCTAGAACAATAGTTGCAACAGAAGATGAAAAAACTGCCCTCTCTTTAAAATAAAAAATGTCCAGTACAGGAGTATGCCCATGCTCACAGTGTCTTCCTAGTACCCTCAACATAACATTTCTGTCAGTGAAAACAGTATGTGATTAGCCAGGAACTAATTTAAACAAAAACAGGAAAGATCCTTTCTTTTACTCGATGAAAGACAATTAAAAGGAAGAGACTCTCAGCAAGTTTGCTGATGATACAAAACTGGGGGTCCAGGTTGATACCCCTGAAGGTTGTGCTGCCATTCAGTGCAACCTTGATAGGATGGAAAATTGGGCAGAGAAACGTAACAAGGGCAAGTGCAGGGAACTGCACCTGGGGAGGAATAACCCCAATTACCAGTACAAGTTGGGGGCTGACCTACTAGAGAACATCTCTGCAGAGAAGGACCTGGGAAGTATTGGTGGATTACACATTGACCACGAGTCCACAGTGTGCCCTTGTGGTCTGGAGGGCCAATGGTATCCTGGGGTGCATCAGGAAGAGCACGGCCAGCAGGTCGAGGGAGGTGATCCTCCCTCTCTACTCAGCCCTAGTGAGCCCCCATTTGGAGTAGTTTGTCCAGTTCTGGGCTCCTCAGTACAAGAAAGACAAGGAGCTGCTGGAGAGCCACAGCAGAGAGCCACAAAGATGATTAGGGATCTGGAGCATCTCTCTTTGGAGGAAAGACGGAGGGAGCTGGGCCTGTTTAGCCTAGAGAAGAGAAGACTGCGAGGGGATCACATCAGTGCATATAAATATCTGAAAGGCAGGTGCCACGAGGACAATGACAGTATTAGTACTTAACTACATTCTCTTACTGCAGATGAAATGAGAGGAGGTGAGAGTGGACCAGACACAGAAGGGCAAAGCAAGCCCTGGGAATACTGGAGCTCACTGCTACATAATCACTATCTACTTTTCTCTTAAATCGCATACACAAAGGTGGATCGATTCAGTTTAAGTAACTGACTTTGAGTTCTCTTAAGCCACATCCAAAGCATTTTCCATGGGCTGTCACTAACACCTCAACTGGAGGCATCACAGCTGAGAGCTGCGTCAGGGTGCTGGCAGTACATGTTTGGGAAGAGGCTGTGCTTAAGGAAGTGAATACTTGTTATACTCGCCTTTACCAAAATGAAAGAGATCGTTCCAGAAATAAATATTTCCACCATCTGATTTTAATACATGATATATTTGAATGACTAAGTTTGCAGATGTCTAGCCATGTGCATATATCTAGTCCATAACCCCAGGTTTCTTTCACCACACTTCCTTTTTCACTCCTTTCCCTGTTCTTCCAGTTGCTTTCCCCATCCCATCACACAGTTTCTTTATTTAGGTTAAGTTTTTTTGGGACATGAGTCTTATTAAATCTCTGTACAATACCTAGTGCCAAGACAAGCCTCAGATGAAGCACTGCCCTGCTGCCCTTCTTGCACTGGCCAGAACAACAATAAAACTGACCAGGCAAACTATTAAGAAAAAGCCTGTCTTGTATTTCAGCATTGGTGACTTTGTCCATTTGGGAGTTATCACAGCCTGAAAGTAGTATCTGTAGTAATCCAGGTTCTTTCTCAAATTAACTTCTTTCCTTAAGGCAGCTCATATTGCCACTGTTACACAAAGATAAAGCTTTGTTTAGGTAGCATCTACTCACCCTTAGTCAGAGAAGACAATGCCTAATACTGTACCTATGTCAGATGCAGAGGGTGAAACTGTCTTAAAGAAAATATTTTTTTAAAAAAAAGAAGAAAGAAGGAAGAATCAGCAGAGCCACAGGGACACCTGAAGCATTCAGACCTGGCTAGAAATATAACAGCTGCCATGCTACAGATCTATGGAAACATTTGAAATCTGAAAGTTTTTCAATTTGATTAAATTATGAAAAATGTGCAGCATGTATACTCGAAAAAAAAAAAAAAGATTTGAAGAAGTCTTGCACAGTTGTGTTGCTAAGCAGATTTCACTTCCTCAGCAACAACACAGGCTTACGGAAAGCAGTGCAAGAGTTGCAGGAACCCACTTCCATTCTGACAAGTACCATGATTTATTATTGCCAGACCCGTGATGTTCTGCAAAAGCAAATTTTCTCTTTCCATTTGAAATGCAAATTTCCTTTCAGAGCTGTTCTGACATGTAATTTTACCAGGGAAGGGTTTGGTGCTGTATTTTTAGTACACAAAGGTTGAAGGATCTGCACCCACAGCTTCTAGATAGCCTTGGCAGTGCTGTAACTTTTTAATTAAAAACAACTTATTGTGCCTTACACTGTATGCTGCATGGTTGCTTATGACTCCATGAGGGTGGAGAGGAGAGACTTCTCTTAAGTACAGCTGGAACTTTCCTGCAGGCAAGTCAGTTTGGAAATACGTGGAAAAGTGAGCTATACTCCTCTTTTCTCTTTCTCTTCACAGGCACAAGCAGACCATCTCCTGGGTTGGCACCCATCTCCACAGTGGTTCATGCACATATACACACCCTTCAGTTCAGGATGCTTTCACGTCATTGGCTTGGCTTCTTCTGGCTAAAAGTTTGCAAGGCCCAGCTGAAAACACCCTTCTCTTGTTTTTTTTAGTCACTTACAGAGCAGACATTTCCTACCCAAGTGCCAGCTTCTATTTCAGGAAAGAGATAAATAAATGCTGACATTTGGGGGGTATGGCACTGGGTGGGGAAGACCAAGCAGCGTAACAAATGCAGGACTTGGGACTTGTCCAGCCCATTCTGTAAGCTCTCACTTGACACTTTGCTGAGGGATGTCTGCCTTTCAGAGTAGCCTCATCTGGCCAGGTCCCCCTGTCACAGCTGAGGGTCCCACTAATGAGAAATAGCCACTATGTCTTTGAGAGTTTGCGGTTATGGATTTTGTTGTGAAGTGGAGCCCATCCCTCAAGGATCTACCCTTATTTCTTTCATGACCATGTTTGAACATTATCTTATCTGTTGGAGTGAATAAGTGCTTATCTCCTACAATAAATGGCTTTATCTTCCCATTCCACTGGCATTCACAAGAGCAGTATTCGGCTACCAGAAATTCAAGAACAGGCCTCCAGAAAAGCTGATAGAGAAACAGCAATGGACCAGATGCTTCAGCCCTATAAATTAGGAGAAGATTATGCATAGCCAGCTGTACCATATAAATGCCCATTTTTATATGATGCCATGATCCTTGGTGTTTATCATATGATGTAGCATCTGGCCAGTCTTGTTCACACCTCCCATATATCTGCTTTAATCAGATGTGAACTTGGGATTTATTTACTTGCATGACTTGATCTCAGCTAAGAACCGCTTCATGGCACAGGGGTGGGGCTCTCTTGTGAAATGACATTGGCTTTTGCCACAGATCTATTAGATGTTATCAAGTATTCCCACCTGCAGAGAATTAATCATAAATAGGTGGGGTTTTCTATGGATTTCAATGTTTGCTACAAAGATATTAATCTGTAAAATCTGTCTGATAAAAAAAAAAAAGCAGAGAACATACAGCATCAGAGCAACAAGCATTCAAAATAGGAGCAAAGTGATTTGGCCAACAACACAGACATTAAGCAGTTTCTTTCTCAGAAAGGGAGCCATATACTTCTATGAAGCAAAACTATTTCATATGTGTCCATAGTCAAGGAGAAGATACACCTATAAGGACACAATATTGATGTCTTCTGATGAGAGAGACCTTTTCAGCTCTTTCAGCAGCAACCTCAGAGAGTGAAAAGCCATTACCGAGAAAAAACAGAGAGAGAAATCTATGCATGTTTGGCAGATACAGCGAGGGATCTGTATGAGACCCTCACATCCTGGGGGTGGCAGCTGAAGTCATGAGGGGACGTCCCACAGTTATGCACGTGACACCTATGCTTTAGTGACTGAAGCTCTATCCCAGTTACTGAAATACTACTATAATGTACTAATGGGATATTTACCACGTATAAGGTGGACCCTGGAGTCACATGTATATGATTTGTAGAGTTACATTAATAAAAACGAAGATAAAACCTGGTTATTGGGGTCAAGCACAGATGAGAAAGCATTGATGTGTACAATGGAGTTGCAGGGTGCCTTGGGTACGGTAGCCTTTCTAATGCCAAAGGCCTTTTCCTTGCCTTGAATGATTATGTTTGAATTGTCATTTTTAAATTTGAATGATCTTGTGGAAAATGGAGCAGAGTGAGTGAAACTCTGAGAAGTGAATGTGAAGAGACTGCAGAAATTTAATGAGATCCCAGTTTGGTACTGCTTTTTGGCACATTCATTCTGAATACCACCTTGAAGCTAATTCTCTCACCCAATGAAATATTGCTCCGCTCTCATAAATACCATGAAAAATTATGCTAACAGTACACAAAAATACTAAATAACTTAAATCCTTTCAACTGCACAAGCTGCATCATTATGCCATCCCTGAGCACGCAAGCCCATTATCTCTTTCCAGTTTGCTCCTTAATGGTGTTTGCCACAAGAAGATAGATTTCTAGAAATAACAGGAGACACAATGACATAAAATGTAATGTACTTTGAGTGCTTCGGTTTTGAAATGAAAGAGGCTAGGCTAAAGCATAAGCAATGAGAAGAGCTGAGCAGCACATCCCCACAACTAGGAAGTACAACTGGGAGGCACAGGGAGATCTGTTATTCTTCATGTTCCAGGCATACATACACCTCCTTGCGCTACAGGCTGTGCTATGACCTCAGAAAAGAACCAGAGCCACAAACAAGCAAGATCTACTGCAGCTGTGAGATCCTTGCAGTGTGTGAAAACACAGTATCTGTGACGCATTGAAGAAAAGCTGGCCAAAATGTTTTTGGCTGGGAAAAGGTTTTTTCCATAATTTTCATGCCTGCTGTTTATTAAAGACAGCTGAAAGCACCAACTCATACTACCATTAGCCATCTAAAGAAACATTATGCTGTTCATTTTACCATGACCAACCATTACGACAAAAAGTATTCTGTTACTTCCAGATGAAGCAGGAAAAGTAACATTTCAGAGTGAGGCCATCAATATGACCAAACAAAAGAGCAGAGCATTGGTGAACCCAACACCTGTG